AAAGTCTGTCATTGAGTCGACTGGCGTGGTTTCGAATCCCTGGTTGTACATGGCAAGGAGTAGGGTCGCCTGTCCAACCTCGTGGGTTTTCTCCAATCCTCAGGTTTCCTCCCACTGCTAAAAGACCCCTACGTGCAAGCGAATTATGTAAATAAAATTAAACCATATGTTAGTCCCGAAATGAGCTAGTTTGTGTCGAGTGGACGTTAAACCCCATTTCATTCTCTCTCTCTCTACAACATGTATGTGAATATTACTTATAAAACATTTGGTTGATCATTGTATTGAAGACTAATAATAATAATAATAATAATCCTCTATTTATATAGCGCGATAATACTAAAACTAAAGTTTCTGTTGCGCTTTTCAAGTTTTCTCTATGGAACTACGGAAACGCTTCTGTAAACAGGAACGTCTTTAGCTGAGATTTAAATACATCTAGGAAGTCAATGATTCTAATGTTGTAAGGCAGCGAATTCCATAAGAGAGGAGCAGAGAATGAGAAAGATCTTTTTGCTATTTCAAGATTCACTGATGGTTGATAGAGAAATTGTTTATCTGTGGATCTAAGATATTTGTATCGCGCAACTATTCAATCTACTAGGGAATGCACTAGGCGCTACAAAGACTACCCTTCTCAGCCTACACAGGGATCGTACATGGGAACTCCAGGTTAGCAAGCCAAAGTCTTATTCACTGAGCCACCGTGGCTCCCGCTTGGCAAAAAAAAACATCTGCTGTTGATATGGAACGACCACCCCTGTACTTGTGAGGCGATCACCTGTGTACTTGTGGGACGATCACCTGTGTACTTGTGGGACGATCACCTGTGTACTTGTGGGATGATCACCTGTATACTTGTGGGACGATCACCTGTATACTTGTGGGACAATCACCTATGTACTTGTGGGATGATCACCTGTGTACCTGTGCGATGATCACCTGTGTACTTGTGGGATGATCGCCTGTGTACTTGTACATGTGGGAAGATCACCTAGGTATTGGTTGGTATACAAAGAAAATAACCCTTGACAGTTGAAATTCCATGAAGGGTATGTGGAAACGACACTGGCTGTGCAAAATGGTAGGAACATGTATACATGACTTTTGTTTTTTGTCTCATCTAAAAGGTTCCTGGCAAGGAAAACTGAACTAGAAAATCCTGAAAAAATTTATTGACCAACATTATAAGTAAACCTGTGGACCTCCCTATTAGTGAACCACTGCCATACTCACTGAGCCACCATGGCTTCCTTTCTTTTAAATGCTTCTCCGAGAACTGGAATATATTTTTTTTATATATATATCATGGCCATACTTCCGCCTTACATGTAAAGTATGGTCATTACGACAGGAAGTGTTGACTGACTTAAGAATGAGCTGCCTGGGGTTATACTTATTGATTGGACGTCTTGCCATGTTCACGTCTATATATGGTTGTCTGTAGTATCAGATCTGTCTATAGTACGATTAAACATCATACTGAGTAATCCCCCTTGAGTTCCATTATTCTATTTGATTAATGATCGTTTATCGTTTTAATTAAAGTATTGTTCAGCTTGGTTAGATAAATATTATTTGAGTGTGATTTGAAAGGATTTATCTCTTAATTGCGTAAGTATTTAAATATCGTGTTTTTAGAAAATTGATTTTTAACTATTATTAAGCCCCATCTAGAGTTTAAGACAATAGACAATAGTTTTATTAAAAAAACACATTTTGTTCAAAATTAATCAAATCATTCAATTCTAACTTAAGTTTACATTAATTTCTACTGATTTGACACCATTATATAGGCTTTTTTCAAATGAATAAGATATTGTTTAAACTAATCTTTATGTGTCTTATGGACGAAATTTTGTAATAATAATTCTGCTATCTTTTCGTACAGGTCAGCACATTCTTCAAAAAGTGTTTTTTTATAACCAAGGATGTGTTTATTACATAATTATATGAATCACTACGTTAACAATAGTTTGTCTTATAATTGAAATATGGTCGTATATTATCGTCATCAATGTCTGTCGGTCATCCACAATTGCTTGATAATGGTCAGACTAGAGGCTCAAGTTAATATCAGTGATTCCCCACAGTTACTGCCAGAGAGAGTTATCAGCTGATTGTCTTTAAACTCATACAATGTTTAAGGTCATGGGACGTAGAATTAGAAGCCTATTTCCGGTAATTACTGCCAAAGTTATAACCCTTGATCACTCTGAAAAATCTTGTGGATGTTGTAAGTCCATGAAGCCTTTTGAATTTTAACAATTTCTTATAGTTACTGCCAGAGTTATGGTTCTTGATCACATTGAAAAATCTTGTGGACTCTCCAGAGACTAAAGTTATCATCTGATTGAGGGGGGTTGGATGGCCAAATGGTTAGCACATGCGCGCTGTATCATAAGGTCTGTCATGGAGTCAACTGGCGTGGTTTTGATTCCCCGGTTGTACGTGACAAGAAGTAGGGTCGGCTGTCCAACCTCATGGGTTTTCTCCGAGTCCTCCAGTTACCTTCCACTGCTAAAGACCCTTATGCACAAGTGAATTATTGAAATAAAATTGAAATATATGTTAGCCCCGTAATGACCTGATTTTTGTCCAGTGGATGTTAAACCCTCTCTCTCTCTCTCTCTCTCTCTCTTTCTCTCTCTCTCTCTTTTTCTCTCATCTGATTGGCTTTACATTTATACAAGTTGGCCTTTTCATGAGATAACTTGAACTATTCATCAATATTACAATTTTTGTATAATAAAAGTCATCAGGAAGAACTACAAGCCAAAACAATTCTAATGATTTCTGATAATTACATAATGGGTTGTTGCTCTTAATTAGTTTTTATTGTCTGGTAAATTTTTTCATTACGGTCAAAAGAAAAATATGCAACAACCCTTGTGGGCTTATGTTTCATCGCCTGGCAACCTATCTTTTACACATACGAAGCATCACATTTCGTTGCCTGGCAACCTATCTTTTACTGTATGTGTGAAGCATCAGATTTGATATGCCTTTGATGAAACAAATAAACAAATACTGTGTGCTTTATACCTGCATGTCCTAATTTCAACTATCAAGGTTTCTTTTACATTCATGCCAACGTGTACACAGGTCAGTTTTTCCACTGTTCCTTTTTTGATTAATGATATGATTCTCAACAGATTTGAACAGTTTTCTAACAATGACTTGAAACTAAACATTAAATACAGAAACTCCTGCTAAAACAACACAACTAAATCATACCCGAGTTGTTATGTTTGGTATCAGGATGGCTGTTCGTGTATTAGCTGAATTCATGATTTGTATTTCCAGTGAACATTAAAGTATAACTTAAGTATTGGGAAGGATTTGTTAAATTCACAATTAAAGTATAAATCGGCAATACTATATACCGGAAAACACAGGAAAACAACCGGAAAACAACTGGAAAAAAATGGAAAACAACCGGAAAACACCATTTTATACTGAATACCGGAAAACACCGGAAAAACACTAAATACCGGAAAACACACTAAATACCGGAAAATACCCTAAATAAATAGGTAACCGGGAGCCTGGTCCTCTGTGTGCCTGGGTTAGGGTAAGGGTTAGTTTCCGGTTTATACTATAGCCCTTCTCCGGGTTACCTATTTAGCGTGGTTTCAAGTATTTAGTGTGTTTTCCGGTATTTAGTGTTTTTCCGGTGTTTTCCGGTGTTCAGTATAACATGGTGTTTTCCGGTAGTTTTCTGGTGTTTTCCGGTTGTTTTCCAGTGTTTTCCGGTATATAGTATAGCCCAGTATAAATTACTGCCAGAAAGGATGTGTGTGTCTTTGTTCAAGATTTGTTTACTTGTCCATTGAACATTAAAGTATACCTTATATATAATTAATCAAAGTCATGTTTGTATTGTCCACAACCGTCTGTACCTGTCAAATTGACATGATTACACAGTTTAATATTATTTTAATACACGCTGAATACAGTGACAGGAATTTAGTGTGGGAATACACACACACGTTAATAAACCGGTTAATCTGATTGGTCAATAAATATAGAGTTTGTTAATCTGCCGGAAAATCCTTGGTTCTGTCAATAAAGTCTATTTTTATTAACTGGTGGCGTAGGTTATTATTTTAACATAAATTGTTCCATGCTATAAATAGGATTTGTAACATCTTAATCTAATGTTTTTTTAGAAATTTGTGAATCAATAAACTCTGGCGATTGTATGTCCAAAATAACCAGACCCACCCCTGATAGAGACTACCAATTTTTAAACACCCCCATTAACAAGTGGACATATATTGCCGTCACCCCCGTCCGTCCGTTCACATTTGTTTGTGTGGACACTCTAAGGTCACAATTTTTATTAGATTTTGCTGAAACTTGAAATATAGGGTTATATCCCAAAGATCTTGTTTCTGTTCTATATTGGCACGTATCAGACTAACGCTTCATTTATTTTTGCCCCAGATTGTACGAAAACTTACGTTTGTAGCTTGTGAACCCTCTAGAGTTCACAATTTCTATCTGATTTTCATCAAACTTAAAACATATCCCAAAGATTTTGGTTCCTTTCAATAATGGTGTGCCCCTCTGCCCCACACCCTGCTCACTGCACACCTAGGTGTTAAGTGTGATAAAGATATTTTGAAATAGAATTGTTTTCCAACCAAACTCCCCACATCACAGACACAAAGTTTATTAGTAATAATAATCTTATATCTGTCAGAGTTCAGTTTGATGAAGACAGAAAGAGAATTGTTTTTAAACAAAACTCTCCATTATTGATTTTAAACAAAACTTACTATAATTAAAGACAGAAAGTGTATTAGTACCTAATAATAATCTTATATCTTTCAGAGTTATATAAAGTGAATTGTTTTTAAACAAAACTCTCCATAATCACATGAAGAAAGTTTATTATAATAATCTTATATCTTTCAGAGTTAAGTGAATTGTTTTTAAACAAAACACTCCTCTGTTACTGAGTTTATTGGTAATAATAATCTTATATCTTTCAGAGTTAAGTAAGATAAAGATAAAAGGAGAATTGTTTGGTGAATAATAATATGGACCGAGGATCAACCTAATACTCATTAATCAGACGTAAACACAATCACACACACCATCAACTGTCGTAAGTTTTCTCCATTTCTTCTCTCTCGCTACCTTCCATTGAATTCATTACGTTTGTTTTATTCCCCAGAGTGACCAATAAACTGTCCGTTTTATCGCTCCATTTCCCCGTCTGTAGACACGACTCGACATGAGAAAATAGAAGTCAATAAAATCGTGAAAATAATGGGGATGAATTGGGCAGTGTTTATCGAATTCTTTTATTTATTTGGTCGCATAAAGTTTATACTTTAGAACTCTTTAATAGTGTATCTATTGAATGAGTTGCTAGGAAGTTGTAAATCGGCTATTTATCACCAGTTTTGAATTGTATTATTTGAATTTTTGTTCATTTTAGAAGTTTGTAAGTGCTTGTTTCAATAGGATGAGACAAAATTCCTTTGAATTTAGATATTTATTAGCCCACATTTACTGTGTTCGCTGATTTGGTTGGCCATCCATTCATCCACATTGTCAGTGGTGTAGGAATTTGAAATAAGAGAAGGCTGTAGCTTCGCTATCGGTCAAAACTTCCCTCGTAGCACACTGTATGGTGTATGCCAATCTTTATTAGCTCAGTCGGTGCTGAACAGTAGGACATTAAACCCCATTTCATTTCAATTTGTTTTCCCAAAGTTACTGCCCTTGACTTACCAAGCGGTGTGATCCATTAAAAAACTTTAATAGGTTGTTCAGTTTGTTGAAAGAAGGGTTCCTATTGATTTTTAACTACCAGTATTTCCAATTATTTCTGTGCAGTAATGACATATATCTAGGAAGTTGGGACTGCCTGTGTTAGTACCCTGCAGTTTCTCTCATAGTAATGATAGCCATGAGCTAAGGCTGTTGCACAATTAGTGGAACATGTCGGATTTAAAATTGAACGGGAACACACACAGCTTCTCTAACCCACTGTACCTGATTAAATACCTAAGCCGCTTTAGTTTGGTTAAATACCTAACCTACTGTATATTGGTTAACTACCTAACCCACTGTATTTTGGTTAAATACCTAACCCACTTCATATTGGTTAAATACCTAACCCACTGTATTTTGGTTAAATACCTAACCCACTGTATTTTGGTTAAATACCAAAACCACTTTAAATGCTTCAACCACATGAAGATGGAAAAGCACCATGCAGTGTGTTATCAGGGAAATTTAACAAAAACCATTGGAACACTCATGTATGTATTCTCTTCATTTTTTCCCATGGAAATCTTTTCAGATTTTGTTGGTTTGCCTACAGGTATCAATATTATTAAAATGACTTCTGCTAGAATGAACACAAACAAGAATCATTATTTCTGCCGTTAGAAACCATTTTTGGGCTTCTACTCAGAACAAAAAATCTTTAATCCACATGTAGACATTTGCCTTAGAGGAAAACTGTTCATAAATTCTTAATGTCGTCAATGGCCCATAATGACTAAAATTAATTTTATTCATCAAAATGAACACATTTGGCCGAGAGCTGAAATGGGATTAATCAAGAGATGTGCCTGGAGTTATGAAAATTCAATCTGAGGTTTTTTTAGATCAGATTCTTGAGCTGTAAAAACAGTCATGTTTAGTTTATGCTTTAGTCAATATCTCAAGGCTTTTCTGTTTTCATCCAGTATTGCAAAATGATTCCTAGCTTCTTTGTGAAAGTAAAAGTAGCATTCACAATCTGCAAGAAAGTGAGAAATATCCTTTCTTGTGTGATGGCCAAATGGTCAGCACATGTGGTCGTAAGGTCTGTCATTGAGTCAACTGGCCTGGTTTCAATTCCCCCGGTTGTACATGACAAGGAAAAGGGTCCCATTGCTAAAGACCTCTACACGCAAGCAAATTATAGAAATAAAATTGATTCATGTGTTAGTCCCAAAATAACCTGATTTGTGCTGAGTGGACTATAAAGCCCATTTCTCTCTTTCTCCTATCGTGTGTGAGAATGGTTGTGAATCTGTTAATCTGACACAAAAAAAAAATGTCAGTTGTCATCCCTAATCTCAAGGTTTTTCTCTTTTCATCCATTATTGTAAAATGAATTGAATCCTAACTAACATACTATGTATGAAATAAAATGAAATGGGGTTTAACATTCTACTTTTCTGCAACGACTGGGTAATGTAGACAGGGTACTATGTGATGTGATTATATTGAATAAAGTGAAACCAGATGTTCCAGAAAGTGTACAGACAGGTATACCAAGAACGAGAGAGAAAATTGGTTAAAAATCCATTCAACAAACAACAAGTCATTTTGCTACCAGCTTTTTAGAATACTACTTGTCATGTACAAGCATGGAATCGAAACCACGCCACTTGACTCAATGACAAACCTAGTGATTTAAAGAGCATGTTTTAAACCATTCGTTCAGCCCCCACCCCCCCCACCCCTGACAGATCTCAACAATTTATTCACTTGTTAATTTCACGACTGGTGAATATTACAGTAACAACCCCACTGCCTAAAATAAATTTAACGGAACAGTAATGACTAATGTCTAATTTAAAAACAAAAAATCTCAGCGATGGATGCCGATGGTCTCCACACTTACCATAAATATAACGACACGATTGAGGTGCAATAGACCATGTATCATAGAAAATCCAATTCCCCCAGATAATTTCTCAAGAATATTTATTCTGAAAATTTCTACGTATAAAAAACTGGTCTGTTTGGGAGTTCGGCATTGATCTGTACTTGGCAATTGAATTGAAATTTTCTGCTTGGAATCATTCCTCATGCATGCCTACCATTCAACGCTCAAATTCCTTACAACCAATTAGATTGGAGTTGAGTAAAGTGTTATCATAAAAACGACGGCGGTAATTCACACAGAGATATCCAAACTTGTTGTCGAGTACAGATCAATAAGTTCTTTAATATATTTCATCAGTAAAATTCAAGGTACAGGAAAAGCAATTGGATTTGATGCAGAAGAATCGAGAAACACCAAGTGCAGAATTCAATTAGTTTCAAGTAGATTCTATGGCGCTGATTTTTACGAGATGTCAGATGATATTTTGATTAAAGATCAGCACCTGTCTCCTGGTGATCTACCAACTCATCTCCATATCTTCATTTATTTACCTTGAGTGGAGAGAGAGGGGAATAAGAATGAAATTGGGTTTAACCTACTACTTTTCTGCACCAAGTGGGCTAGTGAAGACGAGCATATGCTATGAGGGCAACTGTGTTTCCACCTACTTTTTTATTAAATTCCAACTGCATCCCTGCCCCCAAAGGCACGCGGCAATAGCCCTACTGCCCTTACTTTTTTGCTGACTGTGCTTTAAAATGTTTTTCGTAACAGCAATGAGATTGTCTGACCATCCTTCTCACTTTAACTCTTCACCGATTTTAACAAAGGATGCTTAGGTAAGGGGAAGATCCCATCTCGTGCTCGTTTCTGGTTATTGAGTGGAGATTTTCACAAATTTTCTTGGGGAGGGCTCTCGGGCTCCCTAAGACTTTCCGGCGCCCCGGGTCAAGGGTTCTTTTACATGTACGCCAAAATGTACATGTCAATGCAAATATCTCCACCCTGGCATTGCCAAGAGAAAAATGAATCACATTTTAATCCCAAAATACCGAAGCATTTTTGTTAATCAAAATCTTTGACCTCTTGTCTTCATTCCCCATCCTTGAACTATTGTGTCCTTTGTGAATCTTTAATTGGATCAAAGTCATCAACTGATGTGCACAGCTTAATTAACTCATTGTGAAGTAGTTGGGTTAATTTAGCTGAAGGGACCCTTGATTCCTTGCCGACCTTCCATTGATGTAATTTCATATGGTTTTGAACAGATTCTACATTTGGTTATGTTCGCGGAAATGGTGCTCTACTGGTTTTAGATATCTTGTTATCACAAGAAAATAGAAATTATGTTATCACAAGAAAGAATTTTATATGGTCTCAATTCAGTTTAAGTATTAAACTAAGCATTCTATTGTGGAACGAGTTGGATGACCGAATGTTTAGCATGTGCGCGTTGCATCATAAGGTCTCTCATTGAGTCACCTGGTCTCTGGGACCCCTGGTTTCCTCCTACTGTTAAATCAAATTAATAAAATAAAATTGAACCATATGTTAGTCCCAAAATGATCTAGTTTGTGTCGAGTGGATGTTAAACTCTCTCTCTCTCTCTCTCTCTCTCTCTCTCTGGAACACCTGACACCACTTAATCTTATTTAAAAAGAAATCATGTTATAAGGAGAACATTGAAAGGAATCCGACCCCAAGTTCAGAAAGCATTCTCAGACTTAACCCTTTCAATGCTAGACGTAAATCCACTGCCTGTGCTAGACCCTTTTTTGAGGGAAAAAGGGGGGTTGGAACTGAATGCCAAACAGTACTTATGGAAGCTTTTATAAAAAATCTTTTTGTCTGTTGGGATGGGCATAAGGTTGGGCTAAGAGGAAAAAATAGAATTTTGGAAATTTGCATAATTATGTAGTCACGTGACGTCATGGCGGCCATTTTGGATTTCTCATTTTTCACTAAAGCTAACATGAAAACAAATTTTTCTCAATGAAATACTTATGAGATATTGTTTTTTTTCACTGGATTTTGATAAAGATATATAAAATGAACAAAAATATCAATAGCAGCCATGAGCATTGCCACCACGAACACGCGTATCACGTCTCCCTTGCCATGACCACGTGCGGATTGCAATACCTTGTTTTCACTTTCACTTTCATCCCCAAGTCCCATATCATTATCAATATAGTCAGTCAATAGATCTACACGTTCGGGACTCAGGAATTGCCTACGTCCTTTACGATCCAGCAGGTCAGCATTATTATCAACATCAGAATTATTGTCAGAACTGCAGACACAGGGCTATCGTGTTCACATTGGGCTTGTTCATCATGCACGGGAGACATAGCCATAGGCGGAACGTCGCGCAACAAATCACACACGTACTTCATAATACCAATCACTGTCCTCACTACTATCATTATCAAGTAACTGGAAACGAATTATGTGTATCATCCGCCTCGAAATTGTCCCCGTGTTGGTCTGCA